AGCTAGTGAGCTTGAACGATTCACCTTGCAGTTCAAAAGACTTTACAGTCCTGCGCATCAGCCCACAGCACCATACCAGGACCCCCTTGAATGATCATGGAAGGAATACACAGAGTCACTGTACCAAAAAGAAATGGTGGATGTTCAACCATTTCAACAGGGAGCATGTGATCAAGAATCGATGTTAATGAAGGAAGAAGTCTGAGGTGCATTGAAGGACTGGCAAAAAACAAAGCTCCAGGAATTGGTGGAATAAAACTTTCAACAAACTGATACAGCACTGGAGGCACTCACTCATCTATGCCAAGAAATTTGGAACACAGCTCCCTGGCCAAGTGATTGGAAGAGATTCATGTTTGGGCCTGTTCCAAAGGTAAGTGATCCAACAAAATGCAGAAATCTCTGAAAAACATCATTAATATCAAAAGTAAGCAAAATTTTGCTGAGGTTAGTTCAAAAACAGTTACAACAGTACATTTGACAAAGAGCTGTCAAATATTGAAGTTTGATTCAGAAGAGGATGTAGAACTAGGGGTATCATTTCTGATGTCAGGTAGATCTTGACTGAATGCAGAAAATACCAGAAAGATGTTTACTTTTGCTTTATTGACTATGCACAAGCATTTGACTGTGTGAATCACTATGAATAATAATGCAACGAATGAGTTATCCCAAAACACTTAATTGTATCCACAAAGAACCTGTACTTAGACCAATGTTAGAACAGAACAACAGGATACCAAGTTATTTAAAATCAGAAAAGGTGTACAACAAGCTTGCATTCTTTCTCCATACTTAATCAATCTGAATTATTGACTATGCAAAGGATTTCAACTGTGTGGATCATAATAAAATAGAATCAGTATTCCAGAACACTTAATTGTGCTGATGAAGAACTTATTCACAGACCAAAGGGAAGTCATTCAAACCAAACAAGGGAACACTGAATGGTTTAAAATCAGGAAAGGTGTGCTCCACAGTTGTATTCTTTCACCATGCTTATTCAATCTGTAGGCTGAGCAAATAATCTGAGAATCTGAATTAAATGAAGAAGAACATGGCATCAGGATTGGAGGAAGACTCATTAACAACCTGTGATATGCAGATGGTACAATCTTGCTTGCTGAAAGCAAATAGGATTTAAAATACTGATGAAAATCAAAGACCGCAGTCTTTAGTGCGGTTGCACCTCATTGTGACAAAAAACAACAAACACACAAATTCTTACCACTGGACCAATAAATAATAACCTGATAGATGGAGAAAAGATTGAAGTTGTCAAAGACTTAATTTTGCTTGGATCAACCATGAACACTCACGGAAATAACACTCAACAAATCAAACCACATATTACACTAGGCAAATCACCTGTAGAAGACCTCCTTAAATTGTTTAGAGTAAAGACAACAGTTTGAGGACTAAAGGTGCACCAGACTCAACTCATGGTATTTTCAATCGCCTCATATGCATGTGCAAGTTGAACAATGAATAAGGCAGATGGCAGAAGGGTTGATGCATTTGAATTATGGTGCTGGAGAAGAATATTAAAAGTACCATGAACTACCAGAAAAACAAACAAATCTGTTGTGGAAGAAATACAGCCACAAGGTTTCTTAGAAGTGAGAATATATTGGATATGCTATTAGGAGGAACCAGTCTCTGTAGATGGACATCATGCTTGGATGTCAGCAAAAGAGAGGAAGACACGCCCACCCCAATGAGATGGAGTGACACAGTGACAGCAAAACTGGTTTAAATTGTGAGGATGGCAGAGACCAGGCAGTATTTCATCCCATTGTATACAGGGTTGGTCTGAGTCAGAAACAGCTCAATGGCACTTAACAGCCATAGTGTTCCATTCTGTGATGTACTGTACAGCCAAGTCTCTATGCCTATGATTATGGACCTATTTTGAAACAAGTTGTTAATGAGGCCGTATTTGGGTGGGAATCCTGGTGTGGCACTGCACGATAAGCACTGGACCACAAGGTCATTTTCAATGCGTGGGTAGCAGTTCAAACCTACCAGCCGCTTCTTGGAAACCCTAAACAGGGTTGCTATGAGCCCGATCAAATTCAACAGCACTTAACAACAAAGGACAAGATAAGCACTTTACTGCTAACTACAAGTTCGGTGGTTCAAGTCCACTAGCTACTAGCTATCCTCTGCAAACCTATACAGGGCAATGATGAGTTTGGACTGATTTGATGGCACTTAGTAATGTTTTGCTAAAGGTAATACAGAAACTGCTCCAATCATACATTGACAGAAAATGTCCATCAGTTCCAGCCAAATTCAGAAGAGGCCGTGGAATGAGAGATATCATTGCTGATGTCCGATGGATCATAACTGAAAGCAGAAAATATCAGAAAGATGTTTACCTGTGCTTTACTGACTACGCAAAGGCTTTCGATTGTGTGGATCATGACAAGCTATGGACAACATTGCGAAGTATGAGTATTCAGGCACACTTAATTGTGCCCATGAGGAATCTGTACCTGGACCAAGAAGCAGTTGCTTGAACAGAACATGGGAACACTGAATGTTTTAAAATTAAAAAAGGTGTGCGACAAGGTTGTATTCTTTCACCATACGTATTCAACCTGTATGCTGAGCAAATAATACGAGAAGCTGGGGTCTATGAAGAAAAATGTGGCATCAGGATTGGAGGAAGACTCATTAACAACTGCAATATGCAGATGATAACAATCTTGCTTGCTGAAAGTGAAGAGGACTTAAAACATTTACTGATGAAAATCAAAGGGCACAGTCTTTGGTATGGATTACATCTCAATGTCAAGAAAACAACAATCCTCACCACTGGATCAATAAACAACATTCTTATCAATGGAGAAAAGATTGAAGCTGTCAAGGACTTCATTCTTGGATCAACTATCAAGGAAGCAGCAGTCAAGAAATCAAACAACATATTGCATTAGGCAAATCTGTTGCACAAGACCTTTTTAAAATGTTGAAGAGCAAAGATATCAGCTTGAGGACTAAGGTGTGCCTGATCCAAGCCATGGTATTTTCAATAACCTCATACATGTGAAAGCTGGACAGTGAATATGGAAGACCGTAGAAGAAGTGATGCTTTTGAGTTATGGTGTTGGAGGAGAATATTGAAAGTGCCATGGGCTGCCAAAAGAACCAATAGATCTGTTTTGGAAGAAGTGCAGCCAGAGTGCTCCTTGGAGGCCAAGATGGCCAAACTTCATCTCTCAGACTTCAGACATATTGTCAGGAAGGACCAGTTGCCAGAGAAGGATATCATGTTTGATAAGGTGGAGGGTCAGAGAAAAAGAGGAAGACCCCCAACGAGATGGATTAGCCAGGTGGCAGCATTGATGGACTCAAGCGTGGCAACAGTAATGAGGTTGGCCCAGGATCGGGCAGTGTTTCGTTCTGCTGTTCATAAGGTCGCTATGGGTCAGTACTGACTCGATGACACCTTACAACAACACCTTACTAGAGGGAGGAACTTAGGTTACCAACCTTAGTTTTGCTCGGGGACATGGTCTTTTGAGACCCATATATGGGAATACTTTGGCAAAATTCACTCTCTTGCTCTGGCTCTTGCGTCTGGCTCCTCATACCTGAACACCAGTTCCTGGGATCTGCTACCTATCATCTGACCTGATTCACCCACACCTGCAATCTGCTGTCTGACCTGCAGAACCCTGGGGCATGAGGAAGGGGAGGATTGGTGATGTTTATCAAGGATTATGGCGTGGTATGCTATTGTTTTTAAGTGCCGTGGATTCTGTTCCAACCCATAGACACCCTGTATGGTATGGGTTTTTCAAGGAGTGGCTGGTGAGCCTGAATTGCTGACCTTGTGGTTCAAACAGACTTTGCAATTCAGCACATTAACCCATAATGTTACACCAGGACTCCATTGAGTGGTAGTTATAACATGTTGGGAAAGTTAGTATCTGGGATAGCTGTACCTTTCACCTAATAGGGACCTTCCTCCTGCTGATCTTTTTAAAATAGATTATTCATTCAAACGCTCACTTTGTGGTTAACACTCCAAACCCTAACCCACAGTGCCACTGGTGGGAGGCAAAATTGGGAAAAATAGTTAGTTCAGACTTTAAAATTTCTTTCTTCATGGACTGTACACACACACGCGCATGCACACATGTATGTGTATATCCATTTACATCCATATCTATCCATCCATGGAGTCCTGGTGTGGTGCTGTGGGTTAATGCACCAGACTTCAAGGTCGGCAGTGCAAATCCACCAGCCAGTCCTCGGAAATCCAATACAGGGAGACTATGAGTCGGAACCAACTCCACAGCTCTTAACAACATGCCCATCCACACTGCCCCCCTCTTCCAAACACACTTTTGTTAGTCTCTGGAGCACTAGTTATGAATTACCACTAGAGGGCATTATTATACTGAGAGCTTGTTTTTAGAATTACAATAAAACTACTTAATTTCTGATTTCAGTAAGATTTCCTATGAAATCGAAAGGAAAGTAGATAATTGCCTCCAAATCTGTTGCATTTTGTCATTATAGTCTGTCTCACGAAACCCTCATTCACTGCCATCAAGTTGATTCCAGTTCACAAGTACCCTACCTACATAGGGTTTCTGAGACTGCAAGTCTTTATGGGAACAGTCTCATCTTTTTCCCTCAGAAAGGATGGTGGGTTGCAACTGCCAACTTTGTGGTTAACACTACAGTACACAACCAGGGCTCCTAAATTTGGCCAAGCCCTTGCTAATCTAAGCAAGTAAGTAAAGAAGGAAAAATTAAAAAAATAAAAATAAATTAATGTTTTTGTTTTGTTTTGCTTTTTAGCAAAGATTACCACAAATCATTATTATTTTCCACAAACCCTTCCCAAGCATAAACTAAGTTGCTGGACTGATTAACTACCAAGCTGCTAATTGTTAGAGTTTTTATTTCGTCTTGCATAAACCAAGTCCCAAATGATCCAATTGCTTTGCAAAAACAGAAGGACTGGTTAATCTCGTTATACTTACTTTACTTTGAGTATTGAGGACAAAGAGCTTGTCATCTGGCTCCAGCAGTTTGCATGCATAAGCTATGTTGACAGCTGTCTCCTGTTTGTCCCCTGTCAGCATCCAGATCTTGATGCCAGCTTTTTGAAGGGCTTCTATAGTCTCAGGAACTCCCTCCTGTAGGCGGTCTTCAATGCCAGTAGCACCTATAATATAATGAACATGCAACAGGTCTTGTAAGTAAGAAACCAAATCCCAGCTAAGTTATAGCTAAATCATATCTGTTGTAGGCAACAGAATTGTGGAAAATACAAACTGTTCCTGGAGCTTCAACAGCTCCTAGGGAGGTGGCAAAACCACATCACAATCAGATATAAAGTGACATTTTGAAGAAAAGCCACAGGAATGAATGAGCATATTAAACTTACTTGTTTTCTTTTTGATTAGCATCCTTTTCTTA